CTACAAAGCGAAAGTATGTTTCGAAAATCTGAAATCTGTTTATCAATTTCACGATGCTCTGTGGCCGGGGGGGGGGCACCGCAGCGCGCAATGAATTGGAAGTTGATCTTTCAGCACTATCCTTATCTTCAGGGCAGATGTTTTTATTTTATTTGGCTTATAATTCCTTACTAAATGTAATATTTCATCTTGATGTACTCCGTCTTTAATATGATTTAAATCAAGTTCCTCGTCATTATAATTCGCTTCCAATAGTGAAGAATGTGACAACAGAGGTTATTGAAAACGAAAAAAATTTAGATTGACAAATTAGTCAGTATTAAGACATAATAACATGCCGAATAAATACTAATTCAGAAGTCAAACAACAAAAATCAGCGTTATATTTACAAAATTTTCACAGGACTAGTTTCGATGGTTTTACCGAACCACCATCTTCAGCTGCAAAACCGCAAGGAATTAGTCGGTATTCTCGACACAGCAATTACAGGATTTAAACAGCGGAACTTTGTAACTAAACAAGAAATTATGTCTGTTTAATAGAATTAAAGAGAAAGTATTATCACATGAAACGAAGCAACTTAAAACTTACCTGAAAAAGAAATGTTTAATAAAGTAAAACAAATAAATATTAAGCTTTTCTTTTTGTAAATTTTGATACCCTTTAGATCATAATTGTTCTTTATTTCATAAATTACGGTTTCATATTTTTAATTTTGTAATTTCTGCACGCCATCTTACCAGATTTAAACTGATGATCTATAATCCGGAAAAATCAATAATCCGGAATCGCCGGATCCCCGACGACTCTGGATTAACGACTTTCGACTGTATATAGTTTTTATATGTATATAATTTTTATGCAGATGAGACAGTAAAGGAATGAATTTTAAAATAGGCAAAAAAGCAATATTATTTTGCTACAGGTTTTGAATGAAACTATTTTGAATTTTACACTGGCGTTTGCCCCCTCTTTTGGTTTAAGGAAAGAAATTCTGCCGCAGAGATATATTACATGGAGTATCAGGAACGACTTTTTATTATAGTAGCAGCATAATAATTTAAACACTGCTGTAAAAATACAGTGACAGCATGCATTCTGTTCTTCAATATAAGGAAGCACTTCTGCAGAGAACCCTGTAAATGTAAACATCGCCAACTTTGGCGATAATAGTTCAAACCTGGTAACCTATCGGATTTATCCAATTCGCTTGTTCGAAGTTTGCAACCATTCCTCTTGCGTTCATTTTGTTAATTATCACTGTTCACTGTTGTTGTTCGCATTTGCAGAATTATATTATTCTTCGGTTGATCTTTACAATATGGTAACTGGTAGTTTGGCGACTTTTTGGAGGCGATACCTGGGACTTTGGTAATAATGTGAGCAGTACTCAGTTCCGATTACGCATTATTTTGTGTGAGGGAAATGAGAGATCATGGGATATGTCATGTGATATTAATGGACGAATTACGGTTCTTTAAATCGGAAAAGGGGGGAAATTGGGAAAAAATCTGGAAATTTTGTATTTGGCTTTATTTCGTGTTGTGTGAAACAGTGTTCGTGAATTTTTGGATCCCATGGCCGTAACTAAAGTGAATTTGAAATGGGTATTTATGTATGTATTAATTTAATGTATGTGCTCATTTATATTTTAATTAGTTTAATTTGATTTATTTTATTTTTTATGTTTTATTTTTGTTTGTTTGTACTTTTGATGTTTTAAGTAAACTGCATGGAAATAATTTACTATCTGACCTAAGTATTTGTAATGGTGCGGTATGTTCGTTGGTGTGTTTAATGTATAGATGATTTAGAGGTAAAAGTTTTTGATATTTATTTATTTTATATGTTGGAAATTTTCATATTTGGAAGGTAAAATACTTTTTCGCGATCATGTAATTTCATAATGTTCTTTTTACCGGGTTTTAATTGAGAAATTGTTATGTATTTTCGTGAAATTTTTCTAATTTATGAGAAAAAGCGTGTACATGGATATAGTGAAGAGTGTGCGCAATGCCATTTTTGTGCAATTCTGGGATGTTTTTTTAAGTAAAAATAAGTCGGCGTGTACATGGTTTAGTGATATTTTAATTAAATGATAGTTATTTTGTGAATTTTATGTTTGTAGGAATTTGGTATACGTTTAAGTTGAAATAAACGTGCATGGAAATAATTTAAATTTTGATACTAAGTATTGTGTATGCTTTATAATGTATAGAATGATTTAGAGGTAAAAGTTTTTGGATATTTTATTTATTTTATATGTGGAAATGTTCATATTTGGAAAGGGTAAATACTTTTTCGCGATCAGGTAATTTCATATATGTTCTTTTTACCCGGTTTAAAGATTGAGAAAATTGTCATGTATTTTCGTGAATTTTTCTAATTTATGAGAAAAAAGCAGTGTACATGGATATAGTGAAGAGTGTGCGCAATGCCATTTTTGTGCAATTCTGGGTGTTTTTTTAAGTAAAAATAAGTCGGCATGTACATGGTTTATGTGTATGTGTATTTTGAAAATGCGTAAGGAGTATGGTATTGTGCACTTTTTCCCAATTTTGCAGTGAATATTTGTCATGATTAAGCAGTTTTGTTTGATAAAATTTCTAGCATAAGTGTAATTCGGCTAGTAGATGTTTGAAGAAGTGTTCAGGAGATAAAAGAAAAGAACATGTCTTTACTTCTGAAGACAAATGGCGGCGGGGAAAAAAAATAGAGGGTTGCTGTAGGAGAGTTGGTCGCCAAAAAATCGCCAAGTTACCATAATGTAAAGATCAACCTATTCTTCTCTTATTTATTATTTTTTAACAACGAATAGATAGAAATATTTTTGTAGATAGATGCCGGTTCTCGGTTCGGGATGAAAGGAGGGGTGAATGCTAATTTGTAACACGGCTGTTCACGTTGTGTTCTTAATTATTAACAGCTCTAAGAACCATGAGGTCTCCAACCTCTAAAATAATTCGTTTCCATAGACAGCAAAAATGTGTATATGCATTTTAAATAATAAAGTAATGCTTTTGTTTTTATTATTGGTTATCCATCTAATTATGAGAATAAATCAATTGTATGGCGTAAATTTTAACAGATAATATATTTTAATGCTTTCTAACAATAACCTTCAGAGATGGCAGGTGTGACATAAATCATTGAAATAAAAAATATTGATTATCTAAGATGACAAATATTTGATGCATCACTATGGTCATCAAAATTAGCAACCACTGCTGGTGTAAGGATATATTGTTTTCTGTGTTAACTGGAATTTAAGACAAATTTTTTTCGTATACCACGTTTAACTGGTTAATTTCAGTATATTAATACTAATTTATATTTTTTAAATGAATTCTTATTTCCATTATAAATGCTTATGTATTGTCTTATGCTTAATAATATATTATTTTCTGTGCTAACTTGAATTTAATACAAATTTATTTTTGCATTTTCAAATTTTTACAACTATATGCTTAATATATTGTTTTGTCTGCCTTGAATTTACATGCACTAAAAATCACATTTCTGGCTCGGCTCATCGTCGATGAACCGCGAGCTTGGCGAGTAAAAAAGCAACGGTGCCAACGGGTTCTCTGCGGATGAAAACCTCAATATAAGCAGCATATGAAAGATCATATGCTACTTAGACTAGCAACAGCATTGCTTTTGTGTTGTACTGTTCTTTAAATGGAAAAACACATTCATATGTCTTTATTAAGTGATAAATTCAACAAATAATAAAACCTTAACTACCATAATATGGTTTCACCGATTTTTATATTTTTCAATATGCAAGAAAATATGTCAACAGAATTATTTATCTTCTATTTTAATACGTACTCAGATTAAATGTAGTTAATGAAGCATTCCATATACGTGCAATTTAATTTAATTGTACCTAACTCCATACTGGAATGAAGATGTGACATTTTAACTTCAGTGGTTAAGTGTTAAATAATATTTCGTTCATAATTTATTAAAAGCTCATTCTTAAACCTATTTTTATTTGCCAAAATATCATAACAATCATATATACATATCAAAAAATCATTTGCAAATAAAGGACTTGCAGGATTATGAATTTTGATTTATTTATTTCATTTGATATTTAAGTTTCCCCCAAAGTAATGTTATTACACCTGTTCTACTGCAGAATTTTAAGTATGAATTTACAGATACTAATATAATTTAAAATAAAATACAAATTTCTTCATAAATATAATTTATATAATTAAAAATTTTCTTAAATACATTTCATTTATACAAAATCAGAAAATTTAAATTCCTTATACGTCAAATTAACATACAATAACGATGTAAACGTAGACAGTCTACTGCTACACATACAGACAGACAACTGCTACACATAAACCTCTATAAAAAATACATTCATAATTTTCAATTCTTTAATAATTTTTTTTTTTGAAATAGAAAATAAATAAGAAAGACCATAAACGTTACATTAAATCAATACACATCTTTTGCGCATACAAGCAATTAAATATTGCATTTTGCCCAAGACCTTGAACATACAAGTTTGAGAAGCAGCTATAAAAACTCTCATGGAAATTAAGCTTTCAGTTAATATTAAATAAAATCAAAAAATCTCAAATTTGATCTGCGTCAATAACGATTATTCCCATTTTTATGTTATCTAAAATAAATAAATAAATGAACTATTTTTTTGCATCGTCAAAAGAGATGGTTAATTTTTAGTCAATTAGCTTACAAATTCAATATAAACAACATAAAATAGAAAACATGATTAACTGTAAACCTTTGTTTTAAACACTGTCTACGCAGAACAACTCTTTGTTTACTTTAATTACATTATATTCTCAAGTATTAGGCTTAACTTTTACTAGAACCATGGATCGCGGCAGCTGGAAAATATTTCATCCCTTAAACAAATTATAATAAGATTCTCATTAGGTAACACATATAGTTTTAGTGTTATCAAGACAAATTATAAAAAGCATTAAAAGAACACAGATACTGCACTTACCATTTAATTGCTTACGAAGTAAAAGTGCTGACTGTTGAGCGGCCATGGAGTGCCTATATCAGTGTGCTGCACAGAACGAACAATAACAAACGAAGGAATAAATATGGCGGCTTAGGCAAGAAAAGCGCATGCGCCTCTACTATTTCATAAATAACTTCAAATTTAAATTCAGATATAAATGTTACATAAATTGCTTTAATAATAAGCACTCTTTTTTATTTTGTTTTTTAAACTGTTAGTAATTGATACGACTCAGAACACATCAAGCACCACTGGAGATTCTGATGCCAATTTGAAGTAATGAAGTTTCTGAAATTTATGCAATTGTTTTAGGCGTTTCCTTTCAGCCTCAAATTAAAAGTCAAGACCAACATCAAACAATCCCGATTTGTATCTCACCGAATGCTTCTCTACTGCCTTATCTCTCATGTATTAAGAAACTCTCTTAAAGCATTTCAAATCACCAGCTCCAACAATTTCCCAGATGCTTTGGCATCTTCACCTCTCAACTGGTTTCACGCACACTTAATGTTTATTCTAAATTTCTAGCAGCACTCCCAACTTCAAAATTTTTATCATTGTTTACATTATACTTTATGGCTTTCAAAATTAATAAATACCCAAATTGTTCGATAAAGAGTAGGGCCTTCGGCCCAGGTACCTTGGCGCTAGCACCTTCTATCGTGAAACCTTGGTTGGTTTGAATCTTTAATAGTTGTAATTAATTTTATGAATCAATAGAAGCACGCACTTCTTTAAATTAATCTCTTAATATCTGTTATCTGAATATCTTTTGAAAGTTTTCAGGCGTTTTTTAGTTTTCGAAGTTATCTGGAAAATTTTAAATTATAAAGCGTTACCTTTTTTACATTTTTAAAGAACGTAAAATGAGTTTAATTAATAAATAGTATTATCAATAAAAATAGCTTTTTAAAGTTGCAATATCATGTCACAAGTCCAACAAGTATTCTGACATTTGTGACAATGCAAATAAATTATGATCTTTGATACTTCGCTGTTATAGTTCAAAGCATAATTTTAGGCTCTATTACTAGCACCTTAACGAAGTAGGGGAAGCATGGAAAAGAAATCCTAAACGAAGATCCAAAACTGGTGAAATGCAGGACAAAAATTAAATAAAATGAAACACAGGCCTCCTGAATAAAATTCAGTCTTGCTAGTAGGAAGCAGAATTTTTCCTCACGTAGAACTGAAGTTCCAATTTGGGCGTATTCATATAAAACTCTACGTAAGAAACTGCAAAACTGATCAGAATGTTGTTCTGCGACAAATTACAAACGAACCGTACTGTATCAGAAACATGCGAAACGAGGCTCATGCGCAACTATCAACCTTGAACGAAACGTTCGTTGGGCGCCTGGACTGGAGTCTCCTATACCGATCGATGTTATGTCACTTTTCGATCATTATTTCCATATGGTGCGTGAAAGCATATCGTAATGAAAAGCAAAAACTATAGGCAATAGTCTTTGATAAGCAATAGACTGTAGAGATGACACAAGCAATTGTAAGTCCGCAGCCGGAGGGTCGAAACGTAGCAATGCGCAACTAGGAACCAGGCGAAATTTTAGTGAAAAGTTTTTACTACCACCTGGACTGATAGTTTCAAATTCGTTTACGTATTATAAGTAAATCTGAACTCAGAATTTATAATTGCGATTATAAGAACGATACTAAAAAAAAAAAAGGCTAATGTCCATTCTCAATCCAAAGTAATCATGGAAGTATGATTATTATATTTACTTTGTCATGCTATTCGGTATTATTTTGTTTTTATTTATGTATATTTACATTGTTACGGTTTTTCTATTTATTTTGCTATTTTTAATAGAATTGTAATTAAAATTGTTTTATTTCCTCGTGAAACGCAGCACGAGGCTTATTTTAAGAGAACGCTACGCCAGAAAATTAAAAATACAGGAGTACGCGCATTTAACATTTAATAAATAGATATTTCGTAATACATATCGAACTCCTGATTACCTGCGCATGTTTTCATAGAAATTTTTCTATCTTGCCCTAGGAAAAGAAATGGAATACAGTAAAACGTAACCGGCAGTATCAAAATAACGGCAGTTTTGAAGTTCTAAATTTAAATCCAATTTAGAACTATGAGATAAAAAATAGATATTAGGTTAAAAGTTTAAAGATCATTTGTATTAAGTTTCGGACGTCCAAACGTAACAAACCTTATCTAATCCTTATCAAATTATTCAGAATGTAAAGGTGAAGTGTTATCCCTTTTTTATGTGTCAATGTGTTAAATTTGAAAGTACTGGTAATGATTTGCAAAAACAATTCACATTGAAATACGCCCTATTTTCTTTGGCTCTTGCCTGGAAAAAGTAAAGATTATTACGTTCTTGTCGGCATATACTGTGTTAAATGATTATGTTCATAGATGTCAAGTCAAGTGGCGAAAATTTTCTTGGTTTTAAAACAAGTCTGGTGCCATGTCCGACATCTTGGATTTAGTTATATGTTCGGAGGAAATTAATGTTAGCGAAGAAGAAGTGCAGTCTGGAATGGATGTAGACAATTTTGTTTCGTTATACTCTAGCAAGGTGACGACGAAATAATTGGACATCTGCTGGGAAAGGAACAAAATGATGAGGAGAATTGAGATCAAGAAGATGAAACGATACGCAAGCAAGAGAGTTGCGCAAAAGGAAGTTAACGAAGGATCGCCCATTTTCATAAAATTTGCGGAGAAATGGTATTACATACAATACCAGTTTTTAAAACTACGACGACGATCTTAGAAGGAAGCAGACATTTTAAATTATATGTTTTAACACTAAGAAATTCGTAATTTTCACGTGGTTGCGTATATGGTAATTTTAAAATGCTGTTTAAATTTTGCTTTCCTGAAGCATAAAAGTCATGGTTATGTGCTTTAATTTTAAATACATTTTAAAGGATTTTCTATATTACTTGTTTAATAGCGGCAGATAGATCGAAAAATACAACCAACGGAATTTATCTGCTGGAAATTTTATAAATGCATCACAAAATATGAACAGATAAGTTATAGATATATACTGTTGCGTTCCACGGGTTTGTGGATTTGGATCAATTAAAAATAACACTTGATGAAGAACCAAACACAATTTAGTCTCAGAAGCACTATTACACAGGACAGTTCCAATGACACGTTTACTCTTGTCAAAATACCACGACAAACACGTTGAAACAATAAGCAACACAGCCTTCAGGCTATAACGGTGAAGACAGCTTCACGGCAGAGCACTAAAGTACAGCTCCAGACTGGGTCAATCGGTCTCAAACTAATCTCTGAATTCAAGACAGTACTAGTCCGTGCATAGGCAGGATATATATAGCTTTAACCAACCTTCGAGAATATTCCCGAGAAAACTGCTAAGAATACGTTCTAGAATGTTCTCGCTCCGTCTATGCCATATCGCCAAATTTTAACAGAGTTTGAAAATAATCAGGTAATAATAGAGAAAAGCATAGATAAAGATTTATTTTTTATAAAGCTATGATTTGTCAATTTTTTACCACAAACGAGACATAATGGAAGAGGCATTCTGGATTAATAGTTCATCTAAAGCCCACTAATAAATAACTTTCATCCGAACGACGAACCCCCTTTTCTACACATCGTTCTTTATGTCTTTTGACATTTTGTATGAGATTCTAAACCTTCGTCAGTAGTCTCTTCAGAACATTTTTTTTTTTTTTTTTTGTTTTTTTGTTTCCAATTGAGGAACGTTGGTTACTATTAAGGTCAGAAGCAGTGGCCTTATACATATTTTATAAAACTTTAACAAATTTTTATTAATAAACTTATAAGGTATTTCTCCCGCCTTCTTAACATGCCTTCGTAATGTAGTGGTCTGCATATTCCAGAGATCCGTGGTTCGATTCCCGGCGAAAGCGTTGCTCAATTTTCATGACTCCGGCTTTCAAAAATTACCTAATGTCTCTACAGTGCCGCCCGAACTAAAAGGGTGGTGGATGATGATTTGCTGCTTCCAAAAAATACCTAATGACTCTACAAAGTAAAGGATTTAAAAGAGAGTAATGGCAACACTGTACAAAAAAAATATTTTACCTCCAGCGCGCGAGACTGCGTATCAGAAATTCTACATATATGCTCTTCTAAAATTATTTTGTGATATTGCTGTTGAATGGAATTTTATAGTTTAAGTGCGAAGAACATGATCTCTACATATAATAAAAGGAAGAGTCTGTCTGTCTCTGTGTGTACCCTTCGTTCGTGCTGCGCATAAACTAATAGACCCAGGGCTACGAAATTTGGTACATAGGTGCATCTATACAAGAGCCAGTCACCTTGAAGCGATTTTTTCAAAATTCGAATGAGATTTTTTTTATGTTATGTTTTCGGATGAAATCGCATCGAATCGATAATTCTCTCTCATTATATCCGCAACAATGGCACTCAGCCATTGTTGCTGATATATCACTGTTGCCATTGTTGCTGATGTCAGCATTGTTGCCACTCGGAAAAATGAGGACGATAATTCTGTGAAATTTTCAAATTTAATGTTTCTCTTGGATACTAGACGTTTGTCGAGAGAAGGCAACGGGAAGTTGGCTAATGAATTTGTTAGGATAATTAATATTTGTATTAAGGGATATTGCTTATTTAATTGTATGTTTTATATGGTGTAGAGACATTAGGTTACTTCGGCGCCATTTCGAAGCAGAAGAGATGAAAAATGAGTAATGCCCTCGCCGGGACTCGAACCACGGACCTCTCAAATACGCGTCGAGCATGCTGACCACTACACCACGAAGGCGAAGGCATGCTAAGAAGGCGGGAGAAATACCTTATAATGTTATACATTTTTATTGAAATTTGTGTTTTTATTTATTTATTTATTTTTTTATTTTTATTTGGATAAAGTTGTTCTGCAGAGTAAAATTCTGTGCAGATTTTAAATTTAATGTTTGGTGTTCCCTTTAGGCTTTTATTAGCTTTTTGTTCCTTTATTAGCTTTTACTAATTCAATTTTTTTGAAACTGGTTTTAAAAGTATCGAATTCTATATACAACCATTATGCACAATATATCACTAGTCTAACATTAGATGTTAAACTAGATTAGGAAGCGGTAAATTTATTTTTTCATACCTTCTTTTTTGATATTTCTTCTACCTTTCATTTGCCATTCAATTAGGAGTCCTCAATGGTACTAATGTTAAGCTTTTGAAACACTTTAATTTTATTAAAACTTCATTAAACAACCGAGAGTTCTTAAAAAATC